CTCCTTTCTTTCCATTGTGTGTCATATATAGCACATTTTGTTTATCTATTCATCTGTCGATGGACACTTGGGTTGTGTTCACATTTTGGCTATTGTGAATAATGCTCCTATGTACATGGCTGTCCTATGTATGTGGGTGAGACCCTGCTTTAGATTTCTTTTGGATATATATCCAGAAGTAAAATTGCTATGTTTTCTTCCAAGCGTTGCATAATTCTTATAGATCATTTTTTTTTTTTTTTTTTTTTTTGAGACGGAGTCTCTCTCTGTCACCCAGGCTGGAGTGCAGTGGTGCGATCTGGGCTCACTGCAAGCTCCGCCTCCCGGGTTCACGCCATTCTCCTGCCTCAGCCTCCCTAGTAGCTGGGACTACAGGCGCCCACCACCCCGCCCGGCTAGTTTTTTGTATTTTTAGTAGAAATGGAGTTTCACCGTGTTAGCCAGGATGGTCTCGATCTCCCGACCTCGTGATCTGCCTATCTCGGCCTCCCAAAGTGCTGGAATTACAGGCTTGAGCCACCGCGCCCGGCCAATTCTTTTTTTTTTTTTTTTTTTTTACGGAGTCTCGCTCTGTCGCCCAGGCTGGAGTGCAGTGGCGCGATCTCGGCTTGCTGCAAGCTCCGCCTCCTGGGTTCACGCCATTCTCCTGCCTCAGCCTCCCAAGTAGCTGGGACTGCAGGCGCCCGCCACCGCACCCGGCTAATTTTTTTGTATTTTTAGTAGAGACGGGGTTTCACCGTGTTAGTCAGGATGGTCTCGATCCCCTGACCTCGTGATCCGCCCGTCTCGGCCTCCCAAAGTGCTGGGATTACAGGCATGAGCCACCGCGCCCGGCGACCAATTCTTATAGATCTTACATTTAGGCCACATATGAAAAGACAACAGCTACCATCCTACTCAATAGTGAAAGACTAAAGGTTTTTCCTCCAAGATCAGGAACAAGGAATGGAAGCCTCTTTTCAACAATTCTATAGTATCAGGATAATGCAGGGCCCACAGAAATAGTCAGAAAGTGTTCCCTCTTCAATTTCTTGGAAGAGTTCGAGGAAAATTAGTGTTGGTTCTTTAAATGTTTGGTAGACATCATCATTGAAACCAACTGGTCATGGACTTTCCTTTGTTGGGAAGTTTTGGATTATGGATTCTATATCCTTACTATAGTTCTGTTCAAAATCCTGATTTCTTCGTTATTCAGTGTTGGTAGGTAGTGTGCTTCTAGAATTTATCAGTTTTATCTATGTGATCTAGTTTGTTGACATAAAATTACTCACAGTATTTTTTATAATCCTTTTGATTTTTTTTTTTTTTTTTAGATGGAGTTTTGCTCTTGTTGCCCATGCTGGAGTGCAATGGTGCAATCTCAGCTCACTGCAACCTCCCAGGTTCAAGCGATTCTCCTGCCTCAGCCTCCCAAGTAGTTGGGATTACAGGCACGCACCACCATGCCCTGCTAATTTTTTGTATTTTTAGTAGAGACAGGGTTTCATCATGGCCAGGCTGGTCTTGAACTCCTGACCTCAGGTGATCCACCTGCCTCAGCCTCCCAGAGTGCTGAGATTATGGGCGTGAGCCACCATGCCCAGCCAATCCTTTTGATTTCTGTAAATTTGTTTGAAATGTCCTCTCTTTCATTTCTGATTGTAGTTTTCTCTCTTTCTTGGTGTGTACATGTTAGGGATCTCTCCTGAGAGTCAACTTGAGACTTATTTGATTTTCTCTATTTTTTTCTATCCTCTATTTCTGTTATCTCTGCTCCCATCTTTATTATTTACTCCCTTTGCTAGTTTTGGGCTTAGTTTGCTGTTCGTTTTCTAGTTCGTTACGGTGTAAAGGTAGATTGTTGATTTGAGAACTTTCTTTTTTTAATGTGAACATTTACAGCTATCACTTTCCATTTTAGCACTGCTTTCATGTCTCATAAGTTTTGGTACATGGTGTTTTCATTTGTCTCAAGATATTTTCTTAAACATTTTTTTATTTCTATAGGTTTTGGGACACGTATGGTTTTTGGTTGCATGGACAAGTTCTTTAGCGGTGATTTCTGAGATTTTAGTGCACCTGTCATCTGTCTCAAGATATTTCCTTTCTTTTTGGAGGGTGATGATGGGGTGTCATTTTTGTCACCCAGGCTAAAGTGCAGTGGCACCATCACAGCTCACTGAAGCCTCAACTTACTGGGCTCAGGTGATTCTCCTACCTCAGCCTCCCAAGTAGCTGGGACTACAGACACATGCCACCACACCTGGCTAACTTTTTGTAGAGACAACGTTTTGCCATGTTGCCCAGGCTGGTCTCGAACTCGTGGCCTTAAGTGATCTGCTCGCGTAGGCCTCCCAAAGTGCTGAAATTACAGGCGTGAGCCACGGCACCTTGCCTCTCAAGATATTTTCTAATATCCCTTTTGATTTTTTTTTTAACCCATTGGCTGTTTAAAAACGTGTTGTTTAATTTTTACATATTTGTGGATTTCTCAGTTTTCCTTCTGCTGTTGATATATCATTTCCTTTTATTGTGATTAGAAAGGATACTTTGTACTATTTCAATTTTTAAAAATTTATTAAGATTTGTTTTGTGGCATAACATATAGTGTGCCCTAATGTTTCTCATACCCTTGAGAAAAATGAGAAAACCGGGTATTCTGCTGTGGTTGGGCAGTGTTCACATATGCACAGACACATACACTTTTACTAACGAGGGTTATATGTTGTATGAAATTTTTAAAAATCAGGATATTGAATTAAATATCAAATAATGAACTTCAAGGGTTTTTTTTTTTTTTTTTTTTTTTTAATATGAAGTCAGGCTCTTGTCACCCAGGCTGGAGTGCAGGGGCATCATCTTGGCTCACTGCAAGCTCCACCTCCCGATTTCAAGCGATTTTCCTGCCTCAGCCTCCCGAGTAGCTGGGACTACAGGCACCTGCCTAATTCGTTGTATTTTTAGTAGAGATGGGGTTTCACCACGTTAGCCAGGCTGGCCTCGATCTCCTGACCTCGTGATCTGCCCACCTCGGCTTCCCAAAATGTTGGGATTACAGGCATGAGCCACCGCGCCCGGCCACAACTTCAGGTTTTAAAAGGCCCTTTACAAACTGTCCCCCAAAACAGCCTGTCAGTGTCCCACTGAATACTAAAGAGTCACAGAAAAAGATGAAAGAGCAGTGTAGTTATTCAGGGCAGGACTTCTGTGCAATAAATTACATCATAAAGACAAGTGAAAACCACTGGGGTCTGAGGATTAGTCTGAGATAGTAATGTACTGATGCTTACTGTCTGATACTGAAGGTTGTATGTCTTTATTTATTGGAAATATCCAGTCAAGTATGTAGGGGTGATGTGTATTCTTTCTTTCTTTTTCTTTTTTTTTTTTTTTTGAGACGGAGTCTCGCTCTGTCGCCCAGGCTGGAATGCAGTGGCTCAATCTCGGCTCACTGCAGGCTCCGCTTCCCGGGTTCACGCCATTCTCCTGCCTCAGCCTCCAGAGTAGCTGGGACTACAGGCGCCCGCCACCACGCCCAGCTAATTTTTTGTATTTTCAGTAGAGACAGGGTTTTACTGTGTTAGCCAGGATGGCCTCGATCTCTTGACCTCGTGATCCACCCACCTCAGTGTCTCAAAGAGGTGGGATTACAAGCGTGAGCCACTGCGCCTGGCCAGGGGTGATGTGTATTCTATGGGTAGTTTGCTCTCAGATGGTTCAGAGCAAAGTATATAGTATAGTTTTTGCATTTAGAGTATAGTCTTTTCTGTAATTGGAGAATATTTTAAATTAGAAAGTTAAATTAGAAAAGAAGGAGAAAGAGCAGGAGGAGGAAGAGGAGAAAGTTGTTAAAATAAAAACAGCTTACGCTGAGCTCGGTTTGACAGCTGATTAGATTGAAAGAAGATCAAATGCAACACCTTCTGCATAAGTGTTTAAATATCTGGTGACAGCTACACTAATGTGTGTAGGAAACCCTGTGTGTGTTTCCTTTTTCTGCTCTCACAGCCGTGTATTACTTGGCTTGTATCCTGTGACCTGCTAGATTCACCAGTTACTTCCAGTAGTTGTTCTCTGCAAATTAAAGTGGTTCCAGCCCTTCCTTTTCAATTATCCTTCCTCCCCCACCATACTGCACTGGCTAGGACTCTGAGTTCAATGCTGAGTAGATGTGATCGCAGAAACATGCTTGGAATTGGTCCCAGTCATGGAAGGAATGGATTCAATATTTTACTATTTTCACTGATGTTAGCGATAGCCTTTTTTTTTTTTTTTTTTTTTTTTTTTTTTGAGACAGAGTCTCGCTCTGTCGCCCAGGCTGGAGTGCAGTGGCTGGATCTCGGCTCACTGCAAGCTCCACCTCCCGGGTTTTACATTTTACGACATTGTCTTGCCTCAGCCTCCTGAGCAGCTGGGACTACAGGTGCCCGCCACCTCGCCCAGCTAGTTTTTTTTTTTGGTATTTTTTAGTAGAGACGGGGTTTCACCGTGTTAGCCAGGAAGGTCTCGATCTCCTGACCTCGTGATCCACCCATCTCGGCCTCCCAAAGTGCTGAGATTACAGGCTTGAGCCACCGCACCCAGCCAATAAATTCCAATTCTTACACAGCTGTAGAAATATTTAAGTGATCTATACCGCTTGTGACTATTTTGCTAAGTAAGGCTTTTCAAGAAATTTCTCTATTTCATCTAAGTTGTAGAATTTTTTTCACATAAAGTTATTCATGAGATCCCACTATTATACTTTTAATAACTGTAGAGTTTGTAATAATATCCCATCATTAATTCTTGATGTTGGTGTTTCAGGCCATTGTTCTTTTTCTTTTGAGGTTTGGTTTATTAATTTTATTAATTGTGTTGATCACTTCTGAGACCCAACTCTTGGCTTGTTGATTCCTTTTATTCTTTGTATTCTATTTCATTAATTTCTACTCTATTATTTCTTTCCCTCCCTGCTACTGCCTCCGAGTTTAATTTACATTTATTTTACGGGTGAGTAATACAGACCTCTGAGTCACTGATTTTGATACCATTCTTCTTTTAATCCTTAACAACTTCGCTGAGATATACTTTATATATCACATATATAATCATAGAATTCTTCCATTTGAATATATTTGTAGACATGTATAACCACCAATAAAATCAATTTTTGAACATTTTCATCATCACCCCAAAAAGACTCCATACCCATTAGCAGTCACTCCTTGTTTCCCCAAATTCCCAACTCTTAACAGAAGCCTTGAAAGCTGTGCATTTCACTCTAAGCACTGGTGTAGTGGCGTCCCGCACATTTCCACATGTTATATAATCATCATCATTTATTTTGAAATATTTTGAATTCTCTTTTGATTTCATCTATGAACTATGAATTATTTATAAGTAAGTTGCTTAATATTCACATATTGGGATTCTTTCTAGATATAGTTATTAATTTCACTGAGATCAGAGAATATATTTTATATAATTTCCTTCATTTCAAATGTTTTTAGATTTGTTTTATAGTTCACAATGTGGTCTATCTTGGTGGAAGTACCATGTTCATAGAAAAGAAGGAATCTGCGGTACAGGTTGCATGTATGCGCTATAAATGTCAATTAACCCGTTTATGCCTGAGGTTGCAATTTTTTGAAATTTTACAATTAGACCTTGGTCCTTGGTGATGACCTTGAGCAGTAGGATACAAATAATTCCACATGTTTAGCATTCCAATAATGGAACATTAGGCATAAACATTTGTCAAGATGGTTGACAGTGTTCAGATCTGTTATTTTACTGTTTTCATCAGATCATTCTATCGATTGGTAAGAAGGGGGTGATATGATCTCCCTTTAATCCTTTTGAGTGTTGCTTCATGCATTTTAAAGTTCTATCATTAGGCATATACACATTTATGATTATTATGCCTTCTGATGAATTCACCCTTTTAACACTACCAATAGCGCCTTAAAAAAAAAAATCTCTGCAAATAGCAAGTGAAAACCTGATAACAAGCTCTTGCTGCCTCTGGACCTGGGCAGTCCCCAGCCTTCTGTTCAGCTGTTCTTCCCACCTCTCACATGAAACATAGTCTATGAAAGGCTGAGGACGTCACATCCACGTTAGTGCAGGGTTCCTAGAACCCACATTACTCATTCATCCAAGGAGGGCACATCAGCACCTGGTGACCACACTGTGCAAGGAATCGTGGAGCATCAGGAACAACACACGACCCTCCCTTTCCTTAGGACAGTTCCCGTTCACAGGGAGTTCCAGTTCCAGTTCCAGTTCACAATAACTCGGGTTATTAAGCCATCAATAACCCGAGTCATGAGGGGCTACCCTGGCAGAGGTGACAAATGCCATTGGTGGCAGGACACTGGTAGACATAGAGGGAGAAGTCCACACAGAGAGGTTCCCAGGCAGAAAGGAAGTCAAGGCAGTAGAGGAGGGGAGTCAAAACAAGCGATGCTGGGATGCAGCTCTGAGGTTTGTGGGTGTCTCTGATTGAGGGAGATGGAAGGTGAGGTCAGAGAAGTGAGGTTCTCAGTTCGCAGATTTGGGCTCATGGGGGTGTGAGGGTGTGTGTGTGTGTGTAAGAGAGCAGGACAGAGAGGTCTTATTCCAGGTCTCCTCCATAGACTCTCCTGACCCTGCCTCTTCCTGAGATGAGTCATTCACCAGGGGGTTTCCTTGCCTTGTTCCTCCTGGACCGGTGTTGTGTTAGGCTGTTTTAGAGGCAAGTTTGTTGTGCTGTGGTGGGAAATCTGCTTCTTTTGAGTCTTTGGTGGCTTTTTTCTTTCTTTGTTCTTTTGGTATAAAAAGAACCCTGGATTAAGAAGCAAGCCATCTGTCTTGTAGTCTTGGGCCAGCGTCATGGTCCAGGGTAAGCCATTTCTTACCTAAATATGTCTCATTCCTGAAATAAGAGGTGACCTTAAATGACTTCTCAGGGGCCTCCAGCTGTTACCCAGTGCTAGGCAAATGCAGGCCTCATGAACAAGCACCAAATACTCCCCTGGGAAAGGTCAGCAGAACCCAGTGACCCAATCACTGCTGCTGTCTCCGAGGGTCACTCATCCTCCTGTCCAGTCCCTCCACTGAACGAATGTTCTGCGTCTCATGCTGCTCGTCTAAAACAAGGACAATGAGGGTTCCTGTACAGTCTGGTTGTATGAGGATTAAGTGTGTTCATATGTGTAAAAAATGCTGAGAACAGAGCTTGGCACAGCACATGCTGTTGTTAGTACAATCGTTACTCTCAATGTTAATTTTAATGAAACCACATCCTCCACGCCAACAATACCATGAGCTGGGGCCTTGCAACCGCACAGCCTCCCTCTGCCAGAGCCAGGTAGGGAGGGATGGCATCCCTGGAGCCGGCACAGCCTCTCTGGAGGTGGGGGGTTGGGGAGGTGGCCCCCATGCTTCCTGATCGCTATTTAGGTCCCTGGTGACACCTCCTGCACCAGACTATGGGCTTCAGGGAGCAGGATTGACACAGGCAGGGCTCATTTGTCCTCCCACCGGCACCAGGCGCAGACATTCTCAGAGTAAAGGGCTCATCATCTACTTCCTGGGTGAATGACTTTTCCTCCAAGCCCATGAGGTGAGCCCATTGGTGGCCTCAGCTCACCGCCTCAGGTCACAGGCTCCAGGCTCCAGCACAGGGATGGGACCCCAAAGAGCCCTGTGGACTCTGCTAAGGAACACCAGGAGCTCCCAGAGGCCAAGTGCAGGGCAGAGATGTGGAGAAGCAGCTGCTCGGAGGACCTTACCCCTGCAGAGGCCGAAACATGGCTGCTATTATATAGAAGGGGAGGCCATAAATGCTAGAGCCATGGCTTCTGCAGCTCCTTTTTACCACAATCGAATTGCCGAAACCACTGTTAAGGAGAAAGTCTTAAAAGCAGCCGGAGAACAAAGATCTTCTCCCCACAGACAAGCCAGGTGTGAGGGGCCACCTAAGCCCTGAGAAACCACAGCAGGAGGAGGTAGCGGCAGAGGCCCCACCCCAGCCGGTGCTGCTCCCCTCTCCTCTTCACCAGGACTGTTCCCCGCTCCCTCCACCCAGTGCTGAGACCAACAGCAGACATGGGGGCGAGCGTGTGATGCACTTAACATGACCTAAGCCATACCAATATATTACCAACAAACTCCAATGACTTAACTTTGAAATTCTTCTCATCTAACTTCTTAAAGTGGTCATTCCTAGTTTCCCTCATTCCTACTAGTGCTCTGGACAGACTTGCCTGCTGGTGCACACGCTTCCCCCACTCTGAGCTGCAGTCTCCTCCTCTGTAAAATGTGGTGATTCCTTCAATTTCCTGCTCAGAGACTTGGATGGGCTGCGAGTCTCTGTTATTCAGGGTCTCCTTGTGGGCATTGTTCTCACCTCAAGCCTTGGTGGGGGACGTGAGTGCCGGAAAAAGGCCTCAGGAAGGCAAAGAACTGACTCAGGAGTCCACATCCAGGGCTTGCTGCAGGGTCCCCAGTATGCAGCTGGACCTGCCATCCCCACCTCCTCCCAATGAGGTCACCCCAGGCAGCCCAGTCTCAGCACATCCAGGACCTACTGCTGCAGCCAGGCCCCTGATGCTGTGCTCAGGCGGACATCCCATCCTCAGGGTGCAGGCAGTGGAGTGAGGTTGTCACCAGGACTGCAGGAAGGACAGGGCTGCAGCAGGGCCCGCCAGTCTGTGTGATGCTCAAGATGGCCATGTGTCCCCCATAGTCAGCCCAGAGTCCCAAGCCACTTCAGAGAGTCAGGGCAGCCATGAGGAGAAAGGATTATGTCCACCGGGTTCTGCTGTGGGTGGGAGGCAGTTCTTCAGCCCATGAGGCTTCCAGTTTCTGGAGAAACCAAGTCATTCTGTCCACACGTTCAGGGCCTCTTCAACCACCTGGAAAAGGAGGAGTCTCCTTAGCAGGCGGGGAGGGGCCCACACAGCACCTCCCTCCCAGAGGACAGTGGGGCGCAGGGGTGGGCTGGGGGCAGGGACACTGGACAAGGAGCCCTGGGGCTGGGGACAAGAGGGGAGCCTTCCAATTCAGGGACACACTGAGGAAGGGGGATGAGAAGGGGAACTGGAGTAAAACCAACACGTGGAAAATCTCTGTGTTGTGCTCTGACCAAGGCTGAATAAATCCCGTGACCACTTCTCATCCTCACCCTTGTCACCCAGTTGAGGAGCCGACTGCCCCACGCCTGGCTGGGCCTGAAGATGGGAAGAACTGGCCCTGCCATCTCCCAGACTTGGCTGGGAGATGTGGGGACCCCCAGCTCCAGGATAGGAACTGATGAGACCAGGGTCCAGGGGGGTGCACCGGATGTGGGGATGGGGCGATCACAAGGAGGGAAATAGAGCCAGGCTGGAGACACCAGGACTCGGGGCAGGGGTGAGCATTTCTGTCCGTGGGAATAGAGCAGAAGGAGGCAGGGCAGAGAATGTCCAGCGCCCCTGCCCTCAGTCACCACCTTCCTTCAGGTAAGGAAGGAGTTTCTTCCAAAGTGCAAACTTACACAATCAGAAGCACAATTAGAACTACAATCCCTACGATGATGCATGAGAGGTAACCAAAAGAGGCAGGAGTCCCTGGGCTGGCGGTCGTTGTCTCTTCAGCAGCTGAGGTTTCCACAGTGGCACTGGCGCCAAATTCTTCAGCACACTGGCTGTCACTCCAGAACGTACAATTACTGACCTGGACTTCCCCACTAGGGCACCTGGGTACACACAGAGAGGGAGGTGAGGACTCTTGAGGGAAAGCTGGCCAGGTGGGATGAAAGGGGAGCCACCCTCCCTCTCCAATGTCCCTGAGAAGGCGTCATGGGAAGGATAGCCTCCTTGTGTCTGAAGGGGGTCCCCCAAGCTCCCTTGTTGAGGCTGGGGAAGAGTCTGAGCATGCGCATTTCAGCCCCTCAGCCTCCCTGCTCTGGGGTCACAGGAGCCTTCTGTGTTGGTCACACGCTGAGCTTCCCTGGGCTGCAGAGGAGGCCTGCATTAGGAGGAGCCACACGCCAGGAGAAGGTCACAAGTCCTTGTGGCCACCAGCTGAGCCCTGTCCTCCAGTCAACCCACAGTACAAGTGAGCTCTCACCCCCACTTGTCTGCTGGTTCCTCCCAATCACAGCAAACATTAGAGGGCCAGAGAAGGACAAATTACTCTTGCCCCTTAAAGCCCAAATAGGGAAAAGACAGGACTTATTAAGGGATTGGGGCCAGGGGTGAGGCCGGCTGGATTGGCTCAGGCCTTCATGGGAACTTGAAGGAGCTCCACCCACAGCCTTCTTATGACTTTTGTCGGTCGTGGCCACTTTTGTCTTTATGGGTCCTGCCTGCATAAAAAGTATTAAAAATAACATTTTTAAAAACAGTTTGGTATAGCAACAAATACAACCCAGACTGGATTCAAGTGTTTTCTTCTCATTTCTTTTTTTGTTTGTTTGTTTTGAGACGGAGTCTCGCTCTGTTGCCCAGGCTGGAGTGCAGTGGCGTGATCTCGGCTCACTGCAAGCTCCGCTTCCTGGGTTAAAGCAATTCTCTTGCCTCAGCCTCCCAAGTAGCTGGGACTACAGGTGACCGCCACCAACCCGGTTAATTTTTATATTTTTAGTAGAGACGGGGATTCACCATGTTGGCCAGGCTGGTCTCAATCTCCTGACCTCAAGTGATCCGCTCTCCTCTGCCTCCCAAAGTGCTGGGATTACAGATGTGAGCCACCGCGCCCAGCTTTCTTCTCATTTCAAAAGGAAATTGCATTTCCTAGGTTTGATGAAAAGGATCAAGGGATCTAGAAAGTTGCCTCTTGTGCCCAGTGAACAAGTCGGTCTGGCCAAGGGGACTCATGCTGGGGAGGGGTGGGAAGGGGCTGCTGCAGGGGGCAGGGGTGGGGACAGGCAGATGGACCAGGAGGGGCCACTGCAGACCCAAGAGACTCCACAGGCTCAGGGACACCCCATGGGTCTGGAGGCTCCATGGGGTCAGCGGAGAAATAGGGGTACCAGGTGACTCAGGTCTTCTTGGGTTCCTGATAGCTGCCGGGAGCCCCTGGCTGCTGTCTCACCCTATGCTGTACTTCCGGCACATCTCAGGGGAGTTCCTATTCCAGAAGGTGACTTCCTCACAGTGACACACTGGGTCTCTGGTCATGGTGCAGGAACTTTTATTTGTTTGACCTGACAACAGAGCATAAGGTTTTGGGAATGTGTTTCCCTGATGTATCCCTCAACCTTCCTTACCACCCACCCCCTCCTACTCAGCTCAGCCAAGTTCACCAAGGAGTTCTGAGGGCCAGTTTCTGCACCAGAACACCCAGGGCTCATACAGGACACCCACCCTTCAGCTGTCACCAATACTCAGAGGAGTCATAAAAGGAAGCATGATTCATGATTTATTACATCAGATTAGGGGAAAAGCATTGTTTAGATGGCATGGTCAATAGCAAAGGAAGTGCAAGGGCATCACCTGAGAGACTCCCAAAGCAGAGGAGCCCTTAGGGGACTTCCCTAAATCCTGGGCCTGCTGGGGAGGAGGAAGGGGCCTGAGAACCTGAAGGCTGAGTGAGGCCGAGCACCTGCCAGAAGCACAGAGCCTGGGGGAGAGAGCCTGACCCTGGAGCAGACCCGTCCCACTGCTGAAACCCAACCCTGTCCACTGGACCAGGCCTTCTCTGTGCTTTAATGATCCCCCTACTCTCTTGCAGCTGACAGTTTAGAAGATTTCCCAGCCAGGTGGCATGCATTACAGAAAAGATTTCTTTCTATTTTTTTTAATCTGTCAAATATATAATCATGAAACAGGGTGATGAAGACCAAGTTGGGCTGGAACTTGGTTCCCTGACTCACATCGGCTACAACTTCCACCTCATTGGCCCACACTCCACCTCTGGACAAGAGGTGCACACAGTCTGTACCTGATTTACAAACTGTACATGGGAGGAAGAAAACAAATTATTGGAAGCGTTGGTGTAATCCACACCCTCTGTGCACGGGTTACAGTCTCCAGTATGTTCTGATCTATGAGATCCTGGGAAGGGAGAGAAAAGCCAATGAATGAGTTGCCACAGAATTCCCAGAGGCTGACAGTGGCTGAAAAACTTCTCTTTTCGCTCTTAGTGGAATCCAGACAGAGAAATCCACTCTTCCAGGCTTGGTCTTGTCATGAATTCAGCATCTATTACATACCTTTGATGGGCACTGCTGACAGAAATATAATACAAACCACACGCAACATTCAAATTCTATGACAGCCGTATTAAAATTGTAAAAAGGATGAGGCGAAATTAATTTTAACAATATCATTTTAACTTAAAATATCTAAAATACTACATTTCAACATGTAATCAATACACATCACTGATATATTTTATTTTTACACCCTCACTCACAAAATAACATCCAACCTCCTGTACATGTGATCTGCCCATGCTGGTCCACCTGACCTGTTTGCTGTCCACTCACCACAGTGGCTCCCTGTCTTCTCCCTGTTAGTCTCCCCAAGCCCCTGAAACCTGGGGCTCTCATTCCTGCAGGGCCTTCTCAAGAGCACTCTTCCTGGCTCTCTGCAAGACTGGCCCTGTCCAACTTGAAATATCAGCCCAAATCACCATCCCTGAGAGGCCCCACCAACCTTGTCTGTTTCACCTATCACTTAACTATTCTTCATGGTTCCCATCAGGACATCCTGACTGTTATGTGTATTTGTGTGTATTTTCTTTTCTTTTCTTTTTTTTTTTTAGACAGAGTCTTGCTCTGTCACCCAGCTGGAGTGCAGTGGCACCATCTCGGCTCACTGCAACCTCCAACTCCCTAGTTCAAGTGATTTTCCTGCCTCAGCCTCCCGAGTAGCTGGGATTACAGGCATGCACCACCATGCACAGCTAATTTTTATATTTTTAGTAGAGACAGGGTTTCACCACATTGGCCAGGATAGTCTTGATCTCCTGACCTCGTGATCCGCCTGCCTTGGCCTCCCCAAGTGCTGGGATTACCGGTGTGAGCCACTGCACCCAGCCTATTTGTATGTCTTGATACCATCCCGGAAAGAAAGCTCCATGAGGGCAGGGCCTCTTAACCCCCGTTAGCATGGTGCCTGACTGACAGAAATCATCCAATGCATCCCTGTGGAAAAAGAGCCAGAAAGTGCAGGAAACAGAAATCTAGAAGCACATAGAGACAAGAATATGATAAGGATGAGAGGTCAGTCTTCAATGGGGTCCTCAAGGCTAGACTACAGACCCAGAATCCTGGCCTACCCCCACAGACTCAGCTTCCAGGTCTGCCCCAGTGCCAGGTAAGTCCCCATGAACTCAGGATCCAGGCCCTTCCCTGTGGACCTAGGGATGAGGCCCATGCCATCACCTGGCTGACATCTACAGACCCAAACTCAAGACCCATGCCAGTGCCAGTTTAGGACCCATGGACTGAGGCTTCAGGTCACCTTTCTGGATATAGGCTCTCGGCCTACCCACACATGCCTGGATACCAAACCGGCTTGCCTGAGGACACCAGCAACAAGACCACCTTTGAACCACACCACATGGCCTGACCAAAATCTGTGTACAGGCTGACTGGTGAAGGGTGTTCCCTGACAAAGCCAGTCTGTAAATATTGGAATAAGTCCCTGCTTCTTTAAAGCACACATTCCAGCACATTGCCACAGGCTCATGAGCAATCAGGGAAACATGACAGCACCAAAGCAACAAAATAAAACACAAGTAGTCCACTCTAAAGAAATGGAGATTTACAACAGCCTGACAAAGAACTGAAAATACTCATTTTAAAGAAGCTTAGTCAGCTACAAAAAAAATACAGATAGACAAGTAAGTGAAGTCAGAAAGACAATACATTAACAAAATGAGAAGTTTAATAAACATACAGACACCATAATAAAGGACCAAACAGAAATTCTGGAATTGAACAACACAATATATGAAATAAAAAATCAAATAGAGAGCTTCAACAGCAGAGTTGATTAAGCAGAAGAAAGAATCAGTGAGCTTGAAGACAGATCATTTGAAATCTCCAAATCACAGGAACAAAAAGAAAAAAAAGAATGAAAAAGAGAGAAGAAAACCAACAGTACTGATGGGTTACCATGAAGCAAAACAATATAGGTATTATCATGGTCCAAGGAGCATCAGAGAAAGAGAAAGGTGCAGAAAGTATAATTACAGGTTGGGCGTGGTGGCTCACGCCTATAATCCCAGCACTTTGGGAGGCCGAGGCGGGCGGATCACAAGGTCAGGAGATCAAGACCATCCTGGCTAACATGGTGAAATCCCGTCTCTACTAAGAAATAAAAAAAAAATCAGCCAGGCATGGTGGTGAGCACCTGTAGTCCCAGCTACTAGGGAGGCTGAGGTGGGAAAATGGCATGAACCCGGGAGGCAGAGCTTACAGTAAGCCGAGATTGTACGACTGCACTCCAGCCTGGGAGAGCGAGACTCTGTCTAAAAAAAAAAAAGGATAATTACAGAAATAATGAAAGAAAATGCACCAAATCTGGATGGGAATAGACTTCCAGATTCATGAAGCCCAAAGAACCCCAAACGGATTAAATATGAAGAGATCTTCACCAAGACACATCACAAACATATTCCCAAAAGTGAAAGGCAAAGAGAATTTTGAAAGCAGTAAGAGAAAAGCAACTCATCACATATAAGGGAACACTTATAAAACTATCAGAAGGCTTCTCACCAGAAACCTGCAGTCCAGGAGAGAGTGGAATCATACACAGTATAGAAAGGAAAAAAAAAACCACTGCCAACCAACAATACCATACCCAACAAATCCATCCTTTAGAAACAAAGGAGCAATAAAGACTTTCACAGAGAAACAAAACCTGTGGGAGCTCATCACCACTACATTTGCCTTACAAGAAATGCTAAAAAAAAGAAAAAGTTATTCAATCTGAAAGAACAGAACATTAACAAGACACATAAAACCATGTAAAAATATAAAATTAGGTGGTTAAAGTAGGTACACAGTCAAGTTCAGAATATTCTTTTTGTTGTTGTTGTTGTTGTTGTTGTTGTTTTTGAGACAGAGTCTTGCTCTGTCGCCCAGGCTGGAGTGCAGTGGCTTGATCTTGGCTCACTGCAAGCTCCGCCTCCCGAGTTCACGCCATCCTCCTGCCTCAGCCTCCCGAGGAGCTGGGACTACAGGCGCCCGCCACCACACCTGGCTAATTTTTTTATATTTTTAGTAGAGACGGGGTTTCACCGTGTTAGCCAGGATGGTCTCGATCTCTTGACCTCGTGATCCGCCCGTCTCGGCCTCCCAAAGTGCTGGGATTACAGGCGTGAGCCACCGCACCCGGCCAAGTTCAGAATATTGTAATACAATCATGGTAGTGTATAAATCACTTGCATCAGTATAAATGTCAAAAGACAAAAATTTTGTTTTAAGTGATAGTTAATGCCATTTGTTAAGGAGTACACAACATAAAAAGATGTAAATAGGGCTGGTTCAATGGCTCACGCCTGTAATCCCAACACTTTGGGAGGCCAAGGCAGGTGGATCTTCTGAGGTCAGGAGTTCAAGACCAGTCTGGCTAACATGGCGAAATCCCGACTCTACTAAAAATACAAAAATTAGCTGGGCATGGTGGCAGGCTCCTGTAATCCCAGATACTCAGGAGGCTAAGGCAGGAGAATCACTTAAACCCAGTAGGCAGAGGTTGCAGTGAGCCAATATCATGCCAGTGCACTCCAGCCTGGGCAACAGAGCTAGAGTTGCCAAAAAAAAGGTATAAATAATGATGTCAAAAACAAAATAAGGCAGGGGGAGGAAAAGTGTCGAGTTTTTTATAAGAGCAAAGATAAGTGGTTATCGGTGTAAAATAAAGTTGGACATGAAATAAACTAACAAATTCAGAAGTGTTTCTATACACTAAAAAGAAACTATCTGGGCTGGAAGCAGTGGCTCACGCCTGTAATCACAGTACTTTGGGAGACCAGGGTGGGTGGATCACCTGAGGTCAGGAGTTAGAGACCAGCCTGGCTAACATGGTAAAACCCTGTTTCTACTAAAAATACAAAAATTAACTGGGTGTAGTGGCGGGTGCCTGTAATCCCAGCTACTTGGGAGGCTGAGGCAGGAGAATCTCTTGAACCCAAGAGGCAGAGGTTGCAATGAGCCGAGATTGTGCCATTGCACTCCAGTCTGGGCAGCAAGAGTGAAACTCAGTCTCAAAAAAAAAAAAAAAAAAAAAAGAAAGAAAGAAAGAGAGAGAGAGAGAGAAACTATCTGAAAAATCCCACTTACAATAGCTACAAATAAATAAATAAATAACTTAGGAATAAATTTAGCCAAGGAGGTAGCTGTATTTTCTTCTGATTTGGTCTTGACATTTCTCTCTGTAGAGTGGCTCTAAAATCTAGCCTTGCCCTGATGGGGATCCAGATTTCCCAAGATGTTCACAAGAAACTTCTTTATGCTTATTTACACAGCTCTGGTGTGAACCATTAAGTTTCTTTTCTTTCTTTCTTTCTTTTTTTTTTTTTTTTGGAGACAGAGTTTTGTTCTTGTTGCCTAGGCTGGAGTGCAATGGCACGATCTTGGCTCACCACAACCTCTGCCTCCCAGATTCAAGCGATTCTTCTGCCTCGGTCTCCCAAGTAGGTGGGATTACAGGCATCCACCACCATGCTCTGCTAATTTTTTTTTTTTTTTTAGTAGATACGGGGTTTCTCCATGTTAGTCAGGCTGGTCTCAAACTCCCGACTTCAGGTGATCCTCCCGCCTTGGCCTCCCGAAGTGCTGGCATTACAGGCATGAGCCACCATGCCCTGCCGAACCATTAGGCTTCATTGTAGTGAGCTGCTGTGGGATGTATTGGGTTTGGGGTCAGGGAGATGAAGAACAAATGTGCTATATCAAAAACAATTGAACAGGGAAAGGAATTGCTAACTGGGCAAACGATGCTGTGGTATGATTGGGTTTTAAACAACTTATATCAGACCTACAAATGGATGTCAAGGCAGCAACTCTTTTAAATAAATTTATGACAGAGATGAAAGATCTGAAAACTGTAAAACATTGATGAAGAAATGGAAAGTAACAAAAATAAACGGAAAGACAATACACATTCATGGATTAGAAAACTCAATATTGTTTAATCATCCATACTACCCAAAGTGATCTATAGATTCAATGCAATGCCTACTAAAATTCCAATGACATTTTTCGCCAAAATAGAGAAAACAATTCTAAAATTTGTATGGAACTAAAGAAGACTTCAAATAGCCAAAGTGATCTTAAGCAAAACAAACAAAAGAACAAAGATGGAGGCATCATATGACCTGATTTTAAAATATATTACAAAAGTATAGTAATCAAAACTGAATGGTAATGGCATAACAATGATAAATAAACTGATGGAACAAAATAGTGAACCCAGGTATAAATCAATGCATTTACAGTCGATTGATTGTGAGAAAGATACCAAGAACACAAAATGGGGAAAGGACAGTCTCTTCAATAAATAGTGTTGAGAAAAGTAGATATCGACATGCAGAAGAATGATATAAGACCTTTATCTCACATCATATGTAAAAATTAATTCAAAATGGACTAAAGATTAAAACATAAGACCTAGAATGGTAAAACCCACAAGAAAACATAGAGGAAATTTTTCATGATGTTGGTCCAGCAATGATTTCTTGACTATGACCTCAAAAGCACAGGCAACAAAAGGAAAAACAGACAAATGAGGTTACATTAGACTAAAAAGGTTCTGCATGACAAAGGAAACAATGAACAGAGTGAAGACACAACCTACAGAATGAAGGTCAATATCCAAAAGATCCAAGATTTCGGTTAAAATAAAAAATACACAGGAACTCAAACATCTCAATAGCATGCAATCAAATAATCCAAGTAAAATGGATACATGGGCATGGGACCTGAATAGACACTTCTCAAAAGGAGACACAGAAGTGGCCAACAAGTATATGAAAAAAATGCTCAGCATCACTAACCATCAGGGAAGTGCAAATTAAAACCACAATCAAATATCACTTCACACCTATAAGAATGGCTATTACCAAAAAGACAAAAGATAACAAGTGTTGATGATGATAGGGAGAAAAAGGAATGCTGGTACACTGTTGGTGGGAATGGAAATTAGTACAGCCATTATGGAAAGCAGTATGGAGGTTCCTCAGAAAACAAAAAATAGAACAACTATATAATCTAGCAATCCCCCTATTGGGCATACATCCAAAGGAAATGACAACAGTATGTTGAAGAGGTACCTTCCCTCCCACATGCAGTGGAGCATTTACAATGGTCAAGACATGGAATCAACCTACGTGTCCATGGATGGATGAAAAGTTAAAGAAAATGTGACACACAGACACAATGGAATATTATTTAGCCTTTAAAAAGAAGGAAATTCTGTCATTTGTGACAGCATGGATGAACCTGGAGGGTACTATGCTACGTGAAATAAGCCAGGCACAGAAAGACAAACACTTCACGATCTCACATATGTGGAATCAGAAAAAGTTCATCTCATAGAGGTGGAGAGTCGAATGGTGATTATCAGGGCTTGAGTTGGATGGTGGATTGGGGAGATGTTAGTCAAAGGATACAAAATTTCAGTTAGGGAGAATAAATTCAAGAAATGTATTGTGGAACATGGTGACTACAGTTATTAAAACAATGTGTTGTACAGTCCTTCTTTCTATCCACAGGGAATATATTCCATGGAACAAACTTGGCACATACTCAAGTCCCTGATATAAATTGGGATAGTATTGCATAAAACCCAGGCATATATGCTTTAAATCTTCTCTAGAATACTTGTACTACCTAATGCAATAGACATGATATGTAAATAAGTGCTATATTGCATTGCTTTTATCTACTTTTATTGACATATTATCATTTTTATTTTTTCCGCATATTTTTGATATGTGGTTTGTTGCAGCCATGGATGCAGAACCCATAGATAAGGAAGGCTACAGAACCCCCATATAAAAAGGGCAAAGAGGGCTTATGCCAGGGCTCTGTATCCATACAGCTGAAAATTGCTGAGCAGATTTTTAAGTGTTCTTACCACGAATACATGATAAGTATGTGAATTAGCTTGATTTAGCCATTCCACAACGCGTGCATATTTCAAAACATCATGGTGTACATCATAAATATATACAATGTTTATCTGTCAATTAAAAATAAACTGATTTTTAAAAATAAGAGTGCACCTGCTGGACACTTCTCTTGGAAGCTGTGCCACTGTTGCTGTGGGTCCACTGTCTGCTGGGAAACTTCCTCCTGCCTGGCAGTGGTGGCAGAGTAAGCTAGGACCTGTGGGGACAAAGGAGAGATGGGCGTGAGTGACTTCCAGACCTCACCCCTCCCAGGCTCCATCTCACATTCCCTTCACCCCAAGTGACAAAATCCATCAGCCCTTGGACATTTTTTCCAGCTCCAAACTTTCATTCTTTCATATCCATGTTTATCCCTTGGTCTGTTAGGGCCAGCTATTTTCTATTAAAAAAAATATATATATATATGGGTAGGTGCGATGGCTCACGCCTGTAATCCCAGCAATTTGGGAGGCTGAGGCAGGTGGATCATGAGGTCAAGAGATTGAGACCATCCTGGCCAACATGGTGGAACCCTGTCTCTACTAAAAATACAAAAATTAGCTGGGCATGGTGGTGCACATCTGTAATCCCAGGTACTCGGGAGGCTGAGGCAGAAGAATAGCTTGACCCTGAGAGGCAGAGGTTGCAGTGAGCCGAGATCGCACCATTGCACTCCAGCCTGGTGACAGAGTGAGACTCCGTCTCAAAAAAAAACCAAAAAACCAAAACCAAAATGAAAAGACAAAGGAAAACACCTCTGTATCCTTTTCTCATATTAAAACATAAAATACATTTATCCCAGAAAACGTGAGCAAGAAGAGTTATTTTTGTTTTTTTTGATACAGAGTCTTGCTATGTTGCCCAGGCTGGAATGCAGTGGCTATTCACAGGTGTGATCATATCTTACTATAGGCTCGAAATCCTGGCCTGAAGTGATCCTCCTGCTTCAGTCTCCCAAGAAATGTGGATAACAGGCACACACCACTGTGGTTGGAAAGAAAAGATTTTATAAGAATTTTTAAAAAACACATACGAGCCCTTCATGCAGAAATAGCATTCAATATATTTAGTTTCACCAAGTGTTCAATTGACCAATAGGTGAATTCTGTCTCTCTCCTTCACATGCACACAAATACACACAGACACACACATAAACATACTCAGTTTTACAAATGAGGGTTATAATATATATAACCTCACAGAAAGTCAGGATATAGCATCAAACATGAAGTAATTAATTACTGCTTTACAAAGGACCTTGACAAGCTGTTCCCACTAAATATCAAAGAGTGACAAAAAAAGATGAAACAACAATTCAGGGATTCTGGCCGTGATCTCTATGTTATAAATGACAACTAGAAGACAACTGGAGAAATCGGAATAGTCTGGGTATTAGTGGTAACGTGTTGATGTTAATTTCCTTGTTTGTAGAAAGTACACACTAAAGAATTCAATAACAGCTTTCATCACATCAACAGCTATTTTTTCAAATGTTTTTATTGTACAGTTTTTGTAACTTTGCTTTAAGTTGTGTTTAAAAGTAGGAAATTAATTTAAGCAAAACCAAAATGGTTACAATGAAAGCTGTTTATGTTGGGCTCAATTCAACTGCCTCTATCTAAACAAGACAAAATGTAGCCTTCTTCCACATCAAAGCCTGTCCCGTAGTTGGTGACAGTGAAGTCAACCCATGTTTCCCAAATCCTTCCTTCCCAGGCTGGAGTCCCTCTAGGTTCAGGCAATGTCTGCGTCTCCTTTCTCTGTTCTCACACTCTTACTCCCTCTCATCTAATGAGGGGTTTATGAGTGTTTTTTAAAATCCTTTCAGAAGACCAACTTTTTATTTTGTCTTTTTATTTATTTATTTATTTATTTATTTGGAGACAGGGTCTCCCTCTGTCCTCCATGTTGGAGTGCAGTGGTGTAATCTCGGTTCACTTCAACCTTTGCCTCCTCTGCCTCCCGGGCTCCAGTGGTCCTGCCACCTCAGTCCCCACAGACAGGCGTGTGCCACAATGCCCATCTAATTTTTGCATATTTTGTAGAGCTGGGGTTTTGCCTTGTTGCCCAGAGTGGTCTAACTCCTGAGCTCAAGTGATCTGCCTGCCTGGGCCTCCCAAAGTACTGGGATTACAGGCGTAAGCCACCACACACAGTTCATTTGGTCAATTCTTTTTGTGGTTTGTATTCTATTTCCTTGATTTATGTTCCTTCCTGTTACTTTGTTTGGTTTAAATTTACACTTATATTTTATGATTGATTAACGTAGCTCCTCAGGCCATAATTTTCATGTTTTTTCTTTTTTTGACAGCTTTAGTGAGACACAATTCCCACAGTTAATAATTATGATGATTCATATAATTCACCCATTTAAAGTCTACATTTCAATAGTTTTTAATAAACTCATAGCTATGCAATCATCACTATAATCAATTTTAGAATATTTTTATCACTCCACAAAGGAACTGCATGCCCTTCCTCTGTAACTCACTTCCCCAGCCCCCAATTTTTTAATAGAAACATTGAAAGCTGTATATTTCACCCCGAGCACTGTTAGCCATTTCCTACCAGTTTTGATGTGTTATATTGTCATTATTATTTACTTTGAAATAAATATCTTACCTTCCGTTTTGATTTCTTCTCTGAACCACAGATTTTTAGAAGTGTGTTGTTCAATTTCAAAATTTTAGAATTCTCTATGAATATTGTTACTGATTTCCAGTTTAGTTTCATTAAGTGTAGAGATCATATCATGTGTTTTATAGCCCAGAACCTGGTCTATCTTGGTGAAAGTATCATGATCATAGAAAGGAATGAGTGTTCAGTGGATGTTCCACTCCTGCTCTTTAAATGTCAGTTAAATCAAGGTGGTTCACAGTGTGCAGGACGCTGGCCTTTCTACTGGCGTTTTCATCTGATCATGCTACCAAGTGCAGAGAAACAGCTGATTTAATCTCTTTTTAATTCTATTTTTGCATCATGTGTTTTGAAGCTGTATTACTAGGCATATACAATTTGTTATTATTATTACACTCCTTGAAGAGTTAACCTTTTTAACTACAAAGGTCCCATACAAATATGGGAGATATTTGATCTCCCATAATATTCTGTGTCCTAAAATTGTTACAGTAGGTAGCTAGACAGGTATGAGCAGGGCAGGAGAGGGCTCCCCACTTCTGACACCAGCAGTATTAGGTGACCATCAGGTGGTTGATAACCGTGTCTCTAAAGTAATAACTGGTTACAGCTGATGCCAGAAAAAAGAGTCTCCTAATACACAGAAAACACCTGACACTGATCAGCAGCTTCCCAATAAGATTTCAAGGGTGGGGAGAAGTAAGGCAAGATCCCAGAAGTATGCCAACCTATAAAACCCCGACTCAGGCGGGCCGGCTGTGCGCTGTTTCTCAAGTCATCTGCTTGGCCATCTTCCAAGTACTTCCCTTCTTTTCTTTCCCTTCCTTCCTTTCCTTCCTGTTCTAAAGCTTTTTAATGAACTTTCACTCCTGCTCTGAAATTTGCCTCCATCTCTCCTTCTGCCTCACACCCCTCAGTCCAATTCTTCTCAGGAGGGGAAGAGCTGAACATGCTATGGACCCCTACGGATTCGCTGCCTTCAACGTAGGGTAACTCGGATCTCGTCCACCGCTAACAAAATCAGCTTCATCTGACACTGAGATAGCCACGGCAGTTTTCTTGGCCTTACACTCTGCATGGTGTGTCTTTTTCCATCTATTTACTTTCAACAGACAGCATCTGTGTCTTCCTTTTAAGGCCCATCTCATATAGACAAGTTATAGTTAAGTCTTGCTTTTTCCGCCCTTCCAACCATTTCTACCATTGCACTGTAGCGCTCAGTGGATTTACAGGTAGTGCAATAATTGATATAGTTGAAACAGACCTATAAGTTTACCATTTAAGCTACGATTGTCTAGTCTAATTTTTTTGCTCCTCTTTCCCTTGCACATTTTAATGTTAATTACTTTTTAGAATTCCATTTTAATTGGATACTGACTTTTTATGCAACATAGTTCCACGATCTATGTGCAAGTGCTATAGGGAATACAGTATACACTCAAGTGTTTATATTCTGTTGAAGGTTTTTAAAAATAGATTTATTGAGGTATAATGGATATGAAACAAAGTGTACTTTTTTTTTTTTTGAGACAGAGTCTCGCTCTGTGGCCCAGGCTGGAGTGCAGTGGCATGATCTCGGTTCACTGCAAGCTTCACCTCCTGCGTTCATGCCATTCTCCTGCCTTAGCCTCCCTAGTAGCCGGGACTACAGATGCCTGCCACCACGCCCGGCTAATTTTTTTGTATTTTTTAGTAGAGGTGGGGTTTCACCGTGTTAGCCTGGATGGTCTCGATCCCCTGACCTCGTGATCCACCTGCCTCGGCCTCCCAAAGTGCTGGGATTACAGGCGTGAGCCACCGAGCCCGGCCACAAAGTGTACCTTTTTAAAGCATGTAGTTTGGTAGATTGACACTTGTGTATACACTGAGAAACTATCACCACGATAAGAAAATGTCATGTCCACCAACCCCCAGAATTTCTTCATTCTTCAATGTAATCCTCTCTTCTGCTTTGCTCCTATGTCTCCAACAATAATTCTTCTGTTTTTTGTCAGAATAGATTGAATTTTAATAAGAAATGGAATCAGATGGTAAGCATTCTGTGTGGATTATTTCACATGACATAATTTTCTGTGTTTTTCTGGGTTTTTTGTTTTGTTTTGTTTTTGTTTTTGTTTTGTTTGTAGAGACAGGGTTTTGCTATGTTGCCCTGGCTTGTCTTGAACTCCTGGGCTCAGGTGATCTGCCTGTCTTGGGAGGACTACAGGTGTGAGCCATTGCACCCTGCCCACCCTGGTCCATTGACTATTATGAATTAAAGGCTATTGAAAAACAGCAGGTGCAAGAAGATCCTTTGACCTCTTTTGTGTTTCCTAAAAGCAGGGGATGAAAGTCCCCTGGAAAACATAGGACGACCTCTTTTTTTTCTTTTTTTTTTTTGAGACGGAGTCTCGCTCTGTCTCCCAGGCTGGAGTGGAGTGGCGCGATCTTAGCTCACTGCAAACTTCGCCTCCTGGGTTATCGCCATTCTCCTGCCTCAGCCTCCCCAGTAACTGGGACTGTAGGCGTCCACCACCACGCTCTGCTAATTTTTTTTGTATTTTCAGTCGAGACGGGGTTTCACCGTGTTAGCCAGGATGGTCTTGATCTCCTGACCTTGTGATCTGCCTGCCTTGGACTCCCAAAGTGCTGGGATTACAGGCGTGAGCCACCATGCCCGGCCGACAATCTCCTTATTTTGAAGGATGAAAAGTCGAGGCCAAGACGGTACTGCACAGACCGTGTTAGAATGGATCCACTATCATCTTTTTAGCTCCCCACGTAATTACTTGCTTCTTCACGAGTTACTTGGTCTAATTCAGTAAATAAGTAACTGACTCTCACTGGTTCTTCCATGCCAGGTAAAACTTGCATTAAATAAATGTGTGTGCTTGTCTCCAGTGGACCTGTCTTATGTCAATTTAATTCTCTGGCCCAGCCAGAAACAAAAAAAAAAAAAAAAAAAAAAAAAAAAGTCTAAAGGAGAGCTTAGCTTCCCTCCATGACCCTCAATGGTGACTATAATCAAACCACATCTTCCAGGCCAACAATACCACATCCTATGGCCTTGCAAGGACATGATCTCCCTCCAGCACGGCCTCTCTGGAGGAGGGGGAGGCAAGGGTGGTGAGATCTCAGGCCTCCCTCATGCTACCTCCTATTAGTTATATAATCCCTGGTGTCACCTCTCCCACCACACTGTGGGCTCCGGGGAGCAGGATTCACATGGGGTTCATTTGTCCTCCCTGTCTTCAGCAGACTCCAGGCACTGGTATTCCCAGAGTAAAGAGCTCACTGTCTACTTCCTGGGTAAATCACTTTCCCCCCAAGCCTATGAAGTGAGCGCAGTGGTGGCCTCAGCTCATGGCCGAAGGACAGGCTCCAAGAGCCCTGCGGACTCTGCTGAGGGCCCATAGGAGCTCCCAGAGGCCAAGGGCAGGACAGAGATCAGAGAAGCAGCTGCTCAGAGAACTCTAGCCCTGAATCTCATTTTGCCACTTGTGAAACAGGGAAAACAACCTACCCTCATCTCCCCGGGTTGTTAGGAAAATCCACTAGATGAAGATGTACAGTCTCTGGCTGGGAGCAGGACACCAGCTGCCCAATAGCACAGGCTTGGGGCATGGCACTGTCCCCACTGTCCCCATCCCTGACCTAGAAGCTAGAGCCTCACTGTCCCGCCACTCCCAGATACAGGACAGAGGACCAGAACTGGGACTGTGGCCTCTCAGTAGGGGCTGGGTGAGTAGCCATCTGCAGCCACCTGGATAGAGACATTTCCTGCTCACTCTTCAAACTGCAACCCAGGTCATGTGCCTACCAGAAGGATAACTACAAGCATGACAGTTAAACCAGGCTGTGGCCCTGCAGTGTCATCGCTGTCCTCACTTGAGGTCTGGCTCCTCTGTTCTTCCATGGCCCCTCCCCATGGCGCTCCACCCTAGTCTTCAGAAGCTTCTGCTACAAGCTCAGGGAGCCAGTACCGAGGTGCAAGTAGGAGCAGGTGCAGCCTCTGCTGGGTGGAGGACAGGTGCCTCGGGGATCCAGTCCAGAGTGACTGACGCCAGCCCTGAGGATGTGATCTGTCCTCCCACACCTGCTAACACAGCCCTCTGAGGTTTACACAGGGCTGCTGAAGATTTTATCTCCTCTTCACTTTACAGGCAGGAGCTGGGGCCACACCAGAGACACAGAGCCAGAGGGGGAGCAAGGCAGGGCCCAGCTATTCACAGCCTTCAATCTCAGGAGTCCTTTACACCCTGAGAGTCCGGAATTCTGAGCCATCAGAACTTCTCAATTCCTACTTTGATAGAGAGAGGAATGGTGTGGAAGGACCTGGCACGCCAGGTGACTGGACCAGCCCAGCACTGACAGAGCCAGGAGCTGGTGTCAGGAACTGAGCTCAGCTCCAGGCTCATCTGAAGTCACCCTGACAGCCTGAGGATGGAGACCTTACCTCCATTCACAGGTATGGCGGGTGGCAGGGACTGGCCCCAGCTGACCACGGTTTTCCAGGTGTACAGCTGTGAATTCAGTCCTCCCTGCCGCCCTCCCCTACTGTCTCATCTGGATCCCCTGGTCATCTACTCCCAGTACCAAAAACTCCTGTATCCTTGAAAATTCCTAATACCATGAAGAAACAAAAATAAATAGCAGTGTGATGTATCATATTTTACATCTTAGACAAGTAACGAATGAAAGCTAAGTGTAGCAAGGGTGTAGGGGCACAGGCACATCTGTGGACTAGGTGTGACCGTAAGCTGGGTTCAATGTTTTTTTTGGAGGAAAATTTGTGTACATTTAAAGAAACTTCTGAAGTCATTTATCCCACAGAAGGAGAAATAGAGAAGTAGAATTCAACTTGTAAGGAGTTGCCCAATAAGCTGGTGCGCATGGATATGTGGACACACGATACATACATATTTAGTACAATGCTGTTGGAATTAGCAAAGGCAAAGTCAGAATGGGATCTAACCAGCTGCCCCTAGGCAGTAACAGTGAATTAAAATGTGGCTTACCCATGCAGTAAAATATAATACCCTTGTTTAAAAGAAGATCAATCTGAATGTACTGCCATAAAACATTTAATGTGATTTGTGTTAGCTCCAAAATTTTGAAAAGCGATTGTGCATTGAAATGCATTTAATTAAGGCAAGACTGATGGAGGGATCAAAGCCTCCTTTGGGACATATAGAGCTCACATTCCCAAAACTGTGAAATTCATGTTGCTGGCCTTGTCTACACTGGTCATCCACACATTCTCTCTTCAGGGCCACTGTCCTGACACAGCCATTCTTCTAGTTGTCTCAGGTAAGTTCACCCACTGTAAACTATTTTAAAAGTCAGTTGTGTAATTTTTGAGAGGTCAAAATATTACTGCTTTTCTGAATTTAGCATTAATCTGTAGAAAGACAACATGCAAACTCTCATAGTTTCTGTAATCTTGCTTTGGCATTTTTTTTTTTTAATAATATAAGGAATCCTCAAAAGGGCTGTTAGCAAAAACCTCAATCAATCTGAAAGAGACCTAGAAGTCTGCACATTTTATACATAATATGTCCTTGCACTCACACTACTACCAATCTCAGTTTACAAAGTCAACTCACAATGAGAACTTTACACCGCAGCGAGGACTCACCAGTGGCAGGACCGCTGAAGGAAGGCGCGAGCCCCCGGTCCTGCCTGTGGGATGCAGAGGGGACACACGGGTGACAGTGCAAGATACTAACTGCAAGCACGTTTGTTAACTGCTTCCTTCCACTTTCAGGGCAGAGGAAATGAAAATTGTAAAAGACAGCGTTGGAAAGTTTTTTCACTGGCTGTTGGTTAAACCGGTCTCCAAGGAACACGTTTAAGAATGTAAACATGGGGTTAATTCTACTAACTAACTAATTAATTAATGAGAGAGGCAACCGCTCTGTGTCTTCCGGAGGTTCACTCCATAGTTTCCACCTTGACTCCCTCCCTCTCTCGATTCTGCAACTTCTCTCCATTCGCGGGCACCGGACAGCCAGGGAGAGCGCGCTGTCTGCTCCCTCCTGCCCGGCCCGGGGACCCAGTTCTTCCCCTGACTCCGAAGATGGGTTCGTCCTGCCCGGACATGGCCGGCCGCAGGTGACCAGAGCCAGGCACCGGCTCCGTGTTCCCCTGTCTCCCTGCCCCATCGTGTTCCCCTGTCTCCCGTCCCCCTCGCCAGGTGCGCTCTTCTCCTGCCAGGGACCGCGGCGGGGACTCACCGGCGGCAGGACCGCGACGATGACGACGACGAACTTTAGGGTCTTGGGGATCCGGGCCACGGTCTGGTTCCCGACGCCGTCCTGGGTCCTTGGTCGCACCTTGCCCTGGCCATCAGGCGACCGGGGCGCTCTGCCCCCAAAGTCCCCTACCGGTAGGAAGCGCTTCTCATCCCCTGCACCTCTGGTCAAACGCCCAAAAATCGATCAGAAATCGTTCGCAGGGTTCGTGCGCCTGGAGAGGTTCCCACCGCTGCACTGCCAGAATCGGAGTGCGCCTCTGCTTTTATACCCGCGGAAAAAAGGCGTGGTCACTTGTCACTTCCAGGAGTCGCTTCCAAGCACTCAGAAAAGGGCCATGGCCTCCCCTAGCACCTCCAGGAAGGCCCGGGTTGTGGGGGTGGGTGCGTGGACGGACAGGAACTAGTTCTTTCTGGCAGCGGTGACCCTGGGCCTGTGGTTTGATTCTGGGTCCTGTCCAGGCTGTGGCCAGCAAAAGGGGAAGGAACAGAGGTGCTGCCCACCGCCCTGCTGTAGTCGGGGTAGTGAGGTTCAGAGGAGGTACTGGAGGCCCCTCCTGAGCCTCCTCCCTCCCAGCGAAGCCTGTCTCTCCTCTTCTTAAACCCTGAACTACCTCCGGGCCTAAGCACTTCAGTCCACTCTTAGCTTCGGCTCCCACTCCCTCCTCCCACAGTGGCCTCACTGACCACTACACTTAGGCCACTGCCTCCCGTCCCCTTGCTGCTGTGACCCAGCTCCAAGCTTCTCTGGCAGAGGCTTGGCACCCCTCAGTAGTGGGTGCCTGGCACCAAGGAGAGGCCCAGTGAACACATGAGTGGGCAGAATGAAGGACACAGGGACCATGATAGGCACATACAGAGGCTGAGGAGCAGGCAGGAGGGAGAGGAATCCCAGGGGCATCCCTAGCCACAGCCTGGCACCTTTTGCATGGTCGAGGCACAGACACTCCCTGACCAACCTTGAGGGCTCTAGTACTGAGGCCCCATGGAGAGACGAGGTCCAGGGGAGTGTCTTCCAAAGCCTGTCCCCAAGTCTAGTTTCTACCCAGGTCCAACTGTCTGACCTTGGGCTACTTACCTCCCCATCGAGTTAAGCACACTGCCGCTGTGAGGACAGACCCAATGTGTGGTATTGAAGGGTGCCAGCTGGTGAGCCTAGGCAGTCAGGTCAATGGCACGACTCCTAGACCCTTGGGGTCAGTCGGCTCCTGACCCCTCACATGGTGGATAGAAGAGGATAGCACTATAGAAACAAAGGTTTTTTTCTGTTCATCAGAAACCTGGGAATGAAATGTCATCCTCTCCACAGGCTTGGATTTGAGCAGTGGAGCACACTGGGCACCTGCCAGGCCCCAGGCACTGAGTTAGGGTCACAAATGTGTGCCAGGTCCCAGGCACTGAGAAATGCGTGAGGTCAGGAATGTGTGCTGGGTGCAGATCCAGGCAGGGAGTGAGAGGACAGGGACTTCAGGAAGACTGACAGCATTAACAGAGAGCCACCAGGGCCTACAGGAAAGTCTTTAGAGCACCTCAGGCCCCTTGGCCCTGGAGGGCAAACCACACAGTGTAGACTAGAAACCAGACTGCAGGTGAGGACGCATTCTCTGTGCACTATGTGGGACACTGACTAGGGCTAATGGCAAAAGGCTGTGAGCACCTCCCGGGAACTGGGCCTTTAGACTATAAAGTTTCCATTTGAAAGGCTCTTACTAGTTTGTGATGGAACACTAACTGAAGCTCCCCCTGTGACTGAAAGACATAAAATAATCTTGAAACCTGAAAAACTCATGATGTCTTTAGTGATCTCGGAAAAGCTGTAATGGGGAGGGCAGTCCCAGAAGAGTTCTATTACAAAATGGAAATGGTTTATATGGGATCCTGGTGCCTAAGGAAGGCAAAGGGGAGACACTCATGAGCAGAGAGCCTCTGTTCCTCTCAGACTGACTCTAGAACTGCTGGATTCCATGGTCACTTGGACACTTCCCTATACACAGCTCTTTACTGACTGACCAAGAGCTACTTAGTTTATAGACCGTCGTTCCTAGGTGAATGGAGAACATCCTATTTGGAAAGCCAGCCTTCTGATTGAGGAAGGCAAAGGCAAATCGGCTAGGTGGGTTGGATTGCATGCTGTTTTCCTAGTGTTGATGGAAGATTTGAACAGCAGCAAAAGCCCCTATACTTGGATTTTTTTCTGGCTCATGGACAGTCGTCAACGTCCCGGTCACAGAGTTGGGAAGGAGAATGTGAAAGTTGATTGCACAACTTGGGTCATTCTAAATGTCAACTAAAACAGAGTCAAGAGGTCATGGGGAAAAAAATCACTGTATTACCTCCCAACTGCAATTTTCTGTAAGCCTGGTAGCCGTAACCTGAAACTATTAATAGTTCTATCTAATATCTATTGACACAACCTGCTGCTGCTCTAAGACCAGCTTGACCTACTGCAATCACTCACCAGTCAGAGTCTGCCACTTCTTCAAATTTGACAGCACCAGTGAACTCTCTGGAAAAAAAATACTTCAGTATTTTTCCTTTTTTTTTTTTTTTTGAGACGGAGTCTCG